GGAAACTAGGCAAGAGGGGTTTATATATCTGTGGAATGTCCAGGGTCGGAGAAAGAACTCTTGTCTGTTGGAAGCAATTGTGAATGTTGCAATTGGCCACCTTGATTAGTACTGAATGGTTTTGCTTTCACCTAACATTCCACCTAAACAGTCCACTCATTGCACTGTCCACTTGAATCCTCTCTAAACCTAAAAGAAAAGTGCTACTCCTGGCTTACCTGTAAGAGTTTTACTGAATGCATGAAAGCTGAGGTGTTTGATGTACTCTTCCCAGTGGAGCTATAACCTTCAAAATGCACAGATATCCCATTTTATTTGGTGCTAATGGTGGTTTGTAGCCTCTGCCCCATGGAGTTTCCACTTTATGAACCTATTTGCAGAATCCCATAAAAACTTAACAAGTAGCTTCTATATGGTGCTACAACAAAGTTTGCGCTGAGATTCACATTAGATGCAACTTTGAGAAATCTTAGGTCTCCATCTGAGTAAGACCAATGGCTATTTCTCATTTTTTTTCAATGTCTGTAGCTTTCCTTTCTCTCCACTAATAACAGGTTTGGGCTATTACCATTTACTAATTCAAAAAACACAAAGGAAAAAAAGAGGGGGTGAAATATAGGCTCATAGCCAAACTGAACAACAGATGAGGTCTAAAAGTCTGTGGATGGCCAAATGTTGACAGTTCCTTTGGATGTGCTTGACTGAACTGCCATTCTCTTGCACTATGCGCTTCATTGAGCACTTCACGTGTGGTCTGGTCTCCCAGACTTCGTTTTCAATATCCTCATAGGTAGTATTTATTTACAGTACTAAGGCACAGCAGATGAAGCCGCTGAGCTGCTGAACTTACTGAAAGGTCGGCAGTTCGAATCCGGGGAACAGGGTGAGCTGCCACTGTTAGCCTCAGCTTCTGCCAACCTAGCAGTTCGAAAACATGCAAATTTGAGATTAATAGGTACCACTTCGGCAGGAAGGTAACGTTGATCCATGCAGTCATGCTGGCCACATGACCTTAGGAGGTGTTCATGGACAACGGCGGCTCTTCGGCTTAGAAATTGAGGTGAGCACCACTCACCAGAGCCGGACATGGCTAGACTTAATGTCAAGGGTAAACCTTTAGTTTTAACAAAATTTGAAAAATATGTTCCTGGTTTGAACAGACCATTTGAAGGTACTTAAATATAGGTTGCCTATCAAGAATGCTTTAGCTGGCATGGCAGTGAGTTGGACCACATGGCCCTCCCAACTCTTTATGATTTTGTGCAGGAGGGTGAAGGATAGTATAAGTGTCTTGAAATTGACTTATAATGACCCCTTATCTACAGCTTTCAGATATTTGCCATTTCCTTTCTCTACAGCTGAGTATTTATTTACTATATTTATATACCATCCCTCTCAGCCCGCAGGCGACTTGGGACAGTTCACAATGATTTGTTTCTATGGCTACATGTGGATTTGAACCACTGTCTCTAAAGTCGTAGTCCATTACTCAAAATACTGCACCACACCAGCTCAGTTAATTGGATTACAATAAACCATAAAATAAAAATATTGCTACAGGCAAGGTAATTATTTTAATTCCCTCCATCTAGTAATGAAGTATTTATGACATGGAGCAGGGACAAAATGATTTAAATGCCCTCCATAATTCAGATAAGAGGGTTCGGTAACAAGTCATCAAACTCCTTCTCAGCAAAGGATGTGCCCACAGCACCCCCTGCAGCCTCACAAGTCGAGCTAAATCTTTGCATTTCTTCCTTAGCCATTCATAGAAATCTCTTTCTCCACTTTGGAAGCAAACATTCCCAAATGCCAAATCTTAGATGGGAAAAATTCTCAAGAGACTTGTATTATTTGCCTGGGACCAGGAAGTTCTACTAAAGGTGGCATTTTGCTGGCATCAACCCCAGCATCTCGTCTAAGATATTGATTTTGTTGCAAGCAGGGTATGTAAACATAGACCTTGGAACCAGCCTAGATCTCAAGTTTCCTGATAGCAGTATGAAAGCTACAAGTATCTGAAGTAATTCAAGCTGGAACAATGTTTGCCTTTGGTAAATTTCCAAGGTTATGAATGAACAGGAAAAGCTCTTTTCAGGTTTCAGAAGCAACAGAAACCCACTATCACTAGCCTGAGTTCCTTTATTCTGGCCATGTTGTCTGAATGCCCAATCACTGTCTCCCAAAGCAGTAACTGTACTCTCAACTCAAGAACAGGAAACAGTGGACAGGAAGAGATTTAAAGATGGGCTTAAACCCAAACTTAAAAACTGTAGCATAGACCCAGAGAATTGGGAAACCCTGGAGGTCAGCTGTGACCAGCAGTGCTGCGTAATTTGAAGAGGCACAAATGGAACAGAAAAGGGAGAAACGTGCCAAGAGGAAGGCGCGTCAAGCCAAACCTGACCGGGACCACCTTCCATCTGGAAACCGGTGTCCTCACTGCAGAACATGCAGATCAAGAATAGGGCTCCACAGTCACCTACGGTCACACTGCCAAGACACTACTCTTGGAGGACCATCATCCTTGGGATCGCCTAAGGAAAGCTTGTTAATTGTTATTTCTGTGGTCAGAGCTGAAGTTTGTCACTGAAGTTCCTTAATCAAAGATGGGTGTATGGTGTAATTAGCAGAGAAACCTCACCAGCCTTGGGTCTGTGAGGATTGTAAATGTTTAGCTCTCAGCATGCCATGGTCAAGACCTATTTACTGAAGGCTGGCATTTAATTTCAGCAAAAATGTTAACTAAATTGGGTTGCTGTTTTCCGGGTTGTACGGCCATGTTCCCAGAAGCATTCTCTCACGACATTTCGCCCAACAAAGGATTCCCCCAGGCAGCAACCAGCCAGGCTTTGAATCTGCAAAGCCATTCAATGCTAATCAAGGTGGCCAGTTGAAACATTCACATTTGCCTCAAGCAGACAAGAGTTCGTTCTCACATCCTGGACATCACTCCAGGTATGTCTCACTTGCCTAGTTTCCAACAGACCTCACAACCTTTGAGGTTGCCTGCCATAGATGTGGGTGAAACTTCAGGGGATAATGCTTCTGGAACATGGCCATACAGCCCAGAACTCACAGCAACCCAGTGATTCCAGTCATGAAAGCCTTCGACAACACGTTAATTAGATGGTAGACAGCTACTTTGGGAGTAACCCATTAAAACTGATTTAAGCCATATATACTGAGAGCAGAATAATTCTCTGCCAGATCCTAAGGCTATCCACAAATTGTATTTGTGCAATTTGTGTCACATGAGGTTTGGTACCAAAAAAACCCACTTGACTGAGCAAAATACTTCTTCCTCCAAGCAAGAAACCACAAGACAGCGGAACACATCACCGTGTTTCTGCTATAGTTCAAGTATAAAAAATGGAGACCGTAGTGATAAAATTTCAGGCTCCTATAATTGGGAACATATGAGGCACCTTATACTGAATCAGACCTTTGATCCATGTAGATCAGTACTATCAATTTTGATGTCAAACAGTTCTCTAGAGTTTCAATTAAAATTAATTCCTAGCTCTACCTGGAGACCCCCCAGGCATATTTTACCTAAGCACTAAATTAGATCAGGAGCATCCCGAGTAAGGCATTTATCAAATTGAGTGGACCTGTTTTGTTAACTTAACCAGACATTGGCACTGTGGACTTCAGCCCTTAGCAAAAACAGAACAGCTGGTTAAGCGTTTTGTTAATTAATTTGCAAGACTCAGTGTACTTTCACTGAACCCATTATTCAGTTTATAGATTGTAATGAAAGGGGGAAAAAAACCATTACTCTAATAGGAAAAGAGTGCCCCTCTACACTTTTGACACCCAAGATTAATACCAACACAGCTAGCAAACCACTGCTTAAATATTGCAGTAGAATTACTCTTAATAACTTAAGGAAGACATATTTATTATGCATTGCCAGTAGGCACTGAATTAACAAGGCACTTTTAACTGTTCCAAGTTTTTGAATGCATGAATATTTCTTCCACTTGTCTACATTTAGACTTTTCAGCAGCTGTGTTGGATTTTGAAGTTCACATTCAAACTGCATTGGCTGTAGATTGTAAGGATTCAAAAGACCAGAGGAGTGTGAGGTTGAAGGATAGCCTTAGTTGGACAATCAATGAGCATATGCTTAACAATTAAGCTCAAGTAGTTATACCTGCAAAGCCATTTACCAACCACTGGATGTCTGACACACACCTGCTCTCTGGGCCCATTACTCAAGACTTCAAAACAGTCATTGCTCGATATTTCAAGATTTGAGAAACTTGAGCCCATTTACAGCTCCTGTTTCGTAAGAAGTATTTTTATGCCTCCAATCAGCTGGGGGACTCTGGTTCCCATCCATATGCTCTACTAACCAAAGATTATTTGTTAGCAGAGCAAGGAGCCACAGCTGCACAATGAATGGTTGAATCTGCTGTATTAAAGGTTGGCAGTTCGAAGCTGTGGGTCTGGGTGAGCTCCCGCTGTTAGCCCTTATTCCTGCTAATCTAGGAGATAATTAATTAGGTACCACTTTGGCAGGAAGGTAACAAAGGCACCCACGCAACCATGCCAACACTACAACCAGGAAGTGTCTATGGACAAAAGGCTCCTCGGCTTGGAAATGAAACAAGAGCACCTCCCCATGGCCAGAGTTGACCACCGCCTCCAAAAGCCGGAGATGAAAAGCCTTTACCTTTGTTCTGAGTATTTTTGTCATTGTTATTCCACTGTATTAAAATATTGAATATTTGCCTATCTATTAATGTTGTAATCCGCTCTTGGGGAAACAGAGCAGAATATAAATAAAGTGCTATTATATTATGTAATAGGAGAGGGTATGAATTGAAGAAGCTATGCTTAAAGAACATGCAACTTCTCATCAAACTAGAACTCCTTCCAAATGATTCCATCGCTATATTAATCCTGACAAAACAGTTCACACATTGGCAGTTTGCAAACAGATAGACAAATTCAGCCACTGGCAACAACAAAGAATCACAAGAATCAAAGAATTTGCTAGTGTAAAACTAGTGCATTTATTGGGTATCATCAGCACTTAATTCCAAATCAGTTCTTCTCTAGAATATTCAACATTGCAGCTGAATCTATTGATACCTTCAGCTTTGGAGCAGATGACCTAGAATCTTTGAACCTGTTAAAAAAAAACCAATAAAAGTTAGCAATTTGGCTACAGCAGACTGTGCTGTATTAAATGTCCCAAAGGCCAAATAATGGAGGGATAATTAAGTATGGACCTTGTAGACACAGAATACATACTTGTGATTTCGCTTACTTGAAATCCAACAAAATGTTCTTTTCTAGGTCTTCCAGACAATTCAATTGTATGTTTCTGCTGGATATTGCTATAGAATCACCCTAGGGGACCTAGCAAATATCTAAATTGCTGGTTCTCCAGACAAACTATAGTAACATCCAGCAAAAATTGTTTATTTCAAAGTGTTTTCTATTCTCAATTATAAATATCCTCCGCGCATATGCTGGATTCAATGCAAAACTATGTTCCTACATAACTGAAAAACTACCTAGCTATAGAATTAAAATCTTTCAGTTAAATTGGATTACTTCTTAAAACAATGAGATGACCTCCCAAAGTATCATGACCGCTATTTGAAAAACTTGGAAGCTTTAATATTCACTCCTCATAGAAAAATGAACCACATTCATAGACCTTGAGTGAGGAATCAGCATTCCATGAAAACATTGTCTTCAAAGCCCCAAATAAAAGCACGCAATTTTGTGATTTAAATTCAGTGGAATCAGACTATCTGGCTAGAATTCGCATCTTATCAGCATTACCGATATGATGGGGAAAAAAGATAAAGTCATCATATACCACTGAGTACACATTATTGCCATGCTACCTGCTATACACTTTCTGAACAAGAGTTTGATTTTACCGTAGAGCTTCCAATCCTCCATAGAGTGGGGTGGAAAGACCAGGTGCCTCTTCCTCATCCAGAAGCCTAATCCAATCAAAACATCTGAAAAAACAGGAAAAGTGGTACATCTTTATGAAGAAAATACTAGGTCTTCCAGATATGTTTTCTCCACTTTTCATCAGTCCGAGAAAACATGACCAATGGTGACGAATGCTGAAACATCTGGAGGCCTACTAATTTCACACCCTTGAATTATTGTAGTCAGATACAAATAGCTGGATATTGAAGACCTTTATTGATGTACATCTTACAATGGCCTTTTGCACTATTAACTTTCAAATTGGGTACATTGGAGCATATGCTCAATCCAGGTATGTACTATTACACTATGTAACGGCGAGGAGTTCTCGGTGGCGCAGGGGGTTAAACTGCGAAGCCACTGAACATACTGACCAAAAGATCAGCAGTTCAAATCTGGGGAGCGGAGTCACATGACCTTGGAGGTGTCTATGGACAACGCCAGCTCTACTGCTTAGAAATGGAGATGAGCACCATCCCCCCAGTCAGACATGTCTAGACTTAATGTCAAGGGGAAACCTTTGCCTTCAACAAGATTTGAAAAATATTATGTACCTGGTTTGAACATGTTATTTCCCATTTAATTGTGTGAGATTTACTTTCAAAGTAGTTGTCCTTTTGCATGTTTTTATGATAGAACCAATTAGGAAATGACATTTATAAACCAGAAACAAAAATCATGTTACATAGCATTATCTGTACCAAGGTCAAGAGTCTCCACTCTTGATTCTCTTCCAGCCACAGAAGAAAGCCAAAATTAGGAGAAAGCTGGATTGTTAAAACCAAGTCAGAAAAATTTGCCATGTTATTGCCAATTAACAAGTCCTATCAGGTGATCCCAGTCCAGGGAAATTCTTTACCACCAGCACCCCATTGTCTGTCTGTGTGCCTTCAAGTTACCTGTCAACATGTGGAACCCCCATGAATTTTATAGGGTTTTCTTAAGAAATACACACAGGAGGTTTGCCATTGCCTACCTCTTAAAGTCTACAGTAGTGGTTCTCAATCTGTTGAGTCCCCAGATGTTTTGGCCTTCAACTCCCAGAAATCCTAACAGCTGGTAAACTAACAGGAATTTCTGGGAGTTGTATGCCAAAACACCTGGGGACACACAGGTTGAGAACCACTGGCCTATAGTATTGGGTATTATTCAGTGGCCTTTCATCCAAGTATTAACAACCTCACCAAATCAGTGCTTTTAGTTTTTTAAAGGAGGCATTGTGGTAAATTTTCTAAATTGACCCACCAAAACAAAAAGGAACCCTTACTTCTCTGGTCAGTTCAAAAGAAGTGCTCCACCATCTGTTTCATCCCAATCCAGCCATGTCTACTTTTTCAGCCAATCATTTCTGTCTCAATCTTCTCCAGTGCTTTATTTTCATCCTAAAATAACACAGAAAGCCAATGACTCACATCATTCTTATCCAGAAAAGACTATCAGATGGAAAAACCCTGCTATGCTGATGTATCAGACAAATCTGGCTAAAAACAGCAGAATCAACAGTGTCGATCTGATGGGGAAAAAAGTTTTAGTCATCATATACATCAGTTTTATAGATGCACAAGTGAAGGGATGGCTTTCATTATGCATATATGGCGTTGGAAATCACTATCACAGGGGTTGCAATGATTATGTTTCATGAGGACAAAGTCCACACAGCCTGAACATTTAGATGAAATTCCTTTACATTTTAATAATGCATAAATTACTGTACTTTTTCCTGCCACATAATCAATTCCAGGGGTAAAAAAGCCTTCATGGAAACACAATCAGCTCGAAGAAATTAAAAGGAAACCAATCAAGAAGAAAGTCACACTACACTTTTGTCAACAGAATTCCTTCATTGTCCTGCAAACCTAATCAAGCATACTATGACAGACAAATAAAGCACAATACTACAAATACGGCATCTCTGTGGAATTCCCAGTTTCCTTATAGATACCTACACAGAGAGGCAGTCCAACATTGCCTTGCTGGTAAAACACTCGCTCAAAATATCAGGCAAAGATTACACTTTGTTGTTTATTCGTTCAGTTGCTTCTGACTCTTTGTGACCTCATGGACCAGCCCACGCCAGAGCTCCCTACACTGTTAACGATATATTAGAAAATGGCATTTATAACACGGGAACAAAAATCATGTTATAGTGCCCATCTGGTTCACTGGTTCCTATTCTTTTCTTGGACACATTTGTACAGCCTGAGATTCTAGAGCATGTTTGGACACTTGTCCCAGGTGTTATGTACTCTAGGCCCAATCTTTTGAATATAGCTTGATCTGAAAGATTATCTGGTATGGCTGTCTGTGTACAAGCCAGGTGCCAAAATATGCCTGAGTACACAGAACTACAAGCTTTCTCTTTCAAAACAATAATTATACTTGCATTAATGGGGCAACTACTAAAGCCATCCGCTTCATTGTGTGCATATGGATTGGCAGAGCATTCAATCTTTTTTATTGGTTAAATTTAACTTTACTCACTTGTTATTCTTTCAAACTCTGGTGACGCCTTTGCATTTCAGGTGACTCCCATGCCTGTCTGGATAATTTTCTGATAGATGAGGATATTGTGCATTCTTGTCCTGAAAAGAAAGGAAAAAGTCAATCATGAGAGATATTCAACCTTAACTATTTGTAACTTTAAAAATGTAATAAAGGATAAAGCAGAAACTGCCCATAATTCTGGCCTGTCCACCCAGATTTTTGGTGCATCAGAAGTCCTAGCTTAACAGCAAAGGGATAGACACTGTTGGAGGGCCGGAATATAATTTGAAAAAAAAAACCATGAATTCCTACGCACACTGCACATATCTTATTTGTAGTCCAAATAACACACGAAAACAATACAATAATTAAAATGAAGAGCAAATTTAACAAATATAAACTTATTAGTATTTCAATGGGAGGTGTGGGCCTGCTTTTGTCTGATGAGATAGGATTGCTGTGTGCTTTCAAGTCGTTTCAGACTTAGGTTGACCCTGAGCGAGGGCTGGGTAAATGACCTTGGAGGGTCGCATCTGGCCCTCAGGTTGTAGTTTGAGGACCCCTGCCCTAGAAGAATCCTCCACCTTGTGAGACTGTGGAGCGCATCATGCCCTGCCTCATGCACAGAGGGAGAGCTGTTTAAAGCTACAGACAATGCAGTCACTGTTGCCATTTTGGATCTAAAAGTATTTAGTTGCTTGTGCTGCCTCTATTTTATTATTTACGCAATGCTTTCAACATGAAATAAATAAATCCTTTAAGGGCTTCACTAAGAACACAGTGTAAGAATCTTTCAATCTCAATGCTTGAATATGGCTGCTATGATCATGCTAAATCAAGGAGCATGTTCCAAAAATGTACACGCCCTTAACTTATAATTCCCCATTATTTTTGCTTATTCCCCCCACCCACCCAAAATGCACACACCCTTAATAATAATCATCATCATCATCAACTATATCAGTGTTCCTCAACCTTTCTATTACCACGACCCCTTAATACAGTTCCTCATGTTGTGGTGACCCCCAACCACATTATTTTCATTGCTACTTCACAACTGTAATTTTGCTCCTGTTATGAATCATCATATAAATATCTGATATGCAGGATGTATTTGATATAAATATGCGATATGCTCATATTTGAATACTAAGTGGGGTGGGGGAGGATGATTGATTTTGTCATTTGGGAGCTGTAGTTCCTGGGATTTATTGTTAACCTACAATCAAAGAGCATTCTGAACTCTACCAATGATGGAATTGAACCAAACGTGGCACACAGAACTCCTATGACCAACAGAAAATACTGGAAGGGTTTGGTGGGCATTGACCTTGAGTTTTGGAGTTGTAGTTCACCTACATCCAGAGAGCACTGTGGACTCAAACAATGATGGATCTGGACCAAACTTGGCAGGGATACTCAATATTCCCAAATGTGAACACTGGTGGAGTTTGGGCTTGGGGGACCTTGACATTTGGGAGTTGTAGTTGCTGGGATTTATAGTTCACCTACAAAGAAAGAGCATTCTGAACCCCACCAACGATAGAATTGGGCTAAACTTCCCACATGGAACCCTCACGACCAACAGAAAATACTGTGTCTTCTGATGGTCTTTGGTGACCCCTCTGACATCTCCTCATGACCCCCCCCCCCAGGGTCCCGACCCCCAGGTTGAGAAACACTGATCTATATCTTGCTTTTCTCCCTTATGGGACCCAGAAAGGCCTACAACGTATTAAAAGTATGTAAACAATCCAATTACATCAATAATATGTGTAAGACGTCATAAAATAACAATTTAAAATAATATACATTCACATTTTTGTGGCATTGTATCAGATCATATTGCACTTTGCTCCAGTCTATAAACATTATGGTGTTTCTTATCACTCCAGCTTAAGTTTCCTTCACTAAAGGCCTGCCTAAACAGGAAAGGTTTTAATTGGTTCTTGAAAGAAGGGAGGGAGCTGATCTAATTAAAAGGATTGACGATTCCAATAGTAAAGTATGGAGACATTACAGGAAAAACTTCAAAGTGAAACTTTGCAACAATACTTTTATTATTCTCCACAACGTCAACACATTCCAACACCTTAAATAAAATTGCAATTTAAAATACCATTTGTAAATCCCATTAAATCATTTGAGAACATTTATCCTTCAATATAGGTAATATTTTAAGTAGCCTTCAAATAATCACTATAAATCAGGCATGGGCAAACTTGGGCCTTCCCTCCAGGTGTTTTGGACTTCAACTCCCACCATCCCTAACAGCTCAGGCCACTTAAGGAATGGTGGGAATTGAAGTCCAAAACACCAGGAGGGAAGGCCTAAGCTTGCCCATACCTGGTTTATATGCTGGTCCATATTCTTATTTAATTACTTAATTTTTGTTTTTAATTCACATTTTGTTTTATATTTACCTTTAAAGAATTACATATAAAAAATAATTCCAAAAAGTTATTAAAACTTCAGAGGCCTTTGTGACATTTGGACCACCCTGCAGGCAAGGCCCAAACCTTGCGTAGAGGGAGGAAAAGGTAAATAATGAGGCCTAAACGACCTGAAACCAAACGAATCAAGTTAGTCATGCTTTTCAATCTGCTCTCTTAGGCTATTCGCATTCACACGTCCACGTTTCGTGGCGGATGGCACTGGATTACTTTTCCCCCGGCCTCCATCCAAATTCCTCCTTCCTTCCTTCTTACCTCTTCGGAAGCCGCATGGAAAAGGAGGCGCAGGCGCACTCGGCGCACTTATATAGCCCCTTTGCGCCTCACTGCGCATGCTCTTCCCAAAGCATTCTGGTCAATGTGGTTTGCCTGGGGGAAATTGGGAGAGGCGTGTTCCTATTGGCTGCTCGTTGCACTTGTGGTTTTCAGAGGCAGTTTGAAATAGTGATTGAGTTTTGCAGTGCAGCTAATAAATCCTGGGAGTTGTAGTTTGGAGAAGCACCTATGCTTTAGTAGAAAAGGCTAAAGATCTTGCAAATCTACCACTCATCCATGACAGTTAAAGTGGTGTCAAACTGCGTTAATTCCACAGTGTAGATCCAATAAATCCTGGAAGTTGCAGTTTGGTGAAGTACCTATGCTTTGGTAGAGAAGGTTAAAGATCTTGCAAATCTACCATTCAGCCAGAGCAGTTAAAGTGGTGCCAAACTGCGTTAATTCCATAGCGTAGATCCAATAAACCCTGGGAGTTGTAATTTAGTGAGGCATCTACGCTTTGGTAGAGAAGCTGAAGATCTTGTAAATCTATTCAGCCATGGTAGTTAAAGTGGTGTCAAACTGCGTTAATTCCACAGCGTAGATCCAATAAACCCTGGGAGTTGTAGTTTGGTGAGGCACCTATGCTTTGGTAAAGAAGGCTAAAGATCTTATAAATCTACTATTCAGCCATGGCAGTTAAAGTGGTGTCAAACTGCATTAATTCCACAGCGTAGATCCAATAAACCCTGGGAGTTGTAGTTTGGTGAGGCACCTATGCTTTGGTAGAGAAGCTAAAGATCTTGTAAATCTACCACTCAGCCATGGCAGTTAAAGTGTCAAACTGCGTTAATTCTACAGTGTAGATGCAGCTTTGGCCAGACGCTGGTGGGCTGGATTTTTAAGCTTTAGGTTTTTCCCAAAGTGATAACCATGGTTGTTTTAAATTTAAATAATCCCAATAATGACAATATAATAATAACAACAACAACAATATTTCTATCTCAGTTTCCTCTCTTAAAGGAGACTCAAAGCAACTAGGAATGCTAAAAACAAACAATTTACCACTGAAAACCTACAACATATAAACACTAAAAGAGAATTAAATATAGAGCTATTAAAAATAAAATAGCTAAAATAGCCAAGCCATGTCCATTACCTCCTCTCTGTATCATAATGTCACTTCACTAAAATATTTACACCAGGAGCATCTATACAGTCGAATTAATGCAGCTTGGCACCACTCCCAACTGCCCTGGCCCAGTGATATAGGATCCTGGGAGTTGTTGTTTCTGGTTAGCACTAATTGCACTTTGAAACTACAACTCCCATGATTCCGTAGCATTAAACATAGCAGTTAAAGCAGCATCAAACTGTATTAATTCCACAGTGTAGATGCCCCCTTTGTGAAAAATGAATTTGAATTGATATCGTAGACTTTCACCTCAAGGAAGGCTAATACAATTCTGATCTTCAAATACCTGGAGGCTAGCACTGAAATGGAGCAAATGTATTCTCTCTAATCACAAACCACAGGAACTTTGATCCTATGGATTTAAATGACTTTTAAAAAATGGTTATGTATTGCAGCAGTAATTCCCAAACTCTGGTCCTTCAGGCATTTTGGATTTCAGCTCTCAAAATCTCCGACCGTTTTTAAGATGCTGGGAGTTGAAATCCGAAAGCCTGGAGAACTAAATCTTGGGAATCAATGTTATAACACGTAACGATTTTAGAGTAATTTAAATCCACAGCTTCACTGTATTGATGATTATCACTTATATCTGAAATCCGAAATGTTCCAAAATGTCCACACGAGAGTCTGAGACAGTGGCACCTTTGCTTTCAATGTACCCAGTCCTACAAGAGTCCAACAGAAACCATCCTTATAATCCAACTTTCAACCCTATCTCAGATGTATATCCTACAGCTGCTAATGCACAATAAATATCCTTCCAAGAGCCAGACTGGCAACTCCTCACAGGTCAATAGATATAATTTGACTGGTTAACATTTGAGATTCATCAGTAGGATTTGGGCCATAGTATTATTTTTTTTATCAGTGCCTTTTTAGCTTCCTTTTACTTTGGGGTATGTGTCGAAGGCTTTCATGGCCAGAATCACTGGGTTGATGTGAGTTTTCCAGGCAGTATTACCATGTTCCAGAAGCATTCTCTCCTGATGTTTCATCCACATCTATGGCAGGCATCGTCTGAGGATGCCTGCCATAGATGTGGGTGAAACGTCAGGAGAGAATGCTTCTGGAACATGGCCATACAGTCTAGAAAACTTAAAGCAACCCAGTGATTCCAGCCATGAAAGCCTTCGACAAAATACACTTGAGTCTACTTTCCAGAAGTTTCTGATTGTGTTATTTTATGAAATAGTCAGGTGTCCCAACTTGTTATAGAATCTCAGTGTTCTGTCGCGCGCTGGGCCTGTAAAAAATGTGCAACCTTTGCCCAGCGGGAAGCCAGGGGGGGCCAAAGAGAAGTTCTCAGAGGTTTTCCAACACAAATGATCTTTAGATGGCTTGTGAAGTATAACAAAGTCTTTTATTAATGAACAATCAAACAGAAACTTCTCTTGTCATCAGAAAGTTAAACAAATTATTCCAGGCTTTTATGCAACTGGTAGCTTCCTAAACTTGCCCACGAAGGACAGGCAACTGTCTTCAATAACTTCTTATTTACTTTAAAGGAAAATCCCCTTTTTAACTTTTCCCAGGCTGACTGTAATCTATCCCTTACTAATGTGGGCTCTGCTACTGGGTCGAACTGCGACTTGAAACTGGACCTACCAGTAAAGGCTTAGATGTTCTCCAGCTGGAGTTTTTTGGTCTTTAAGCCTGTTTCCCTGGAAAGTCTTTGGAGACTCTTAAGACTGTTCTCCCCCGGAAATTCTTAAGAGTTGAAGCTTTTGTACAGGGGAAGCTTGCACACGTCCTGTACATTAGCTTTCCTTGCTGAGACTAACTAAAAAATGGCTCCCTTCCCTTCCCAATTGCCCTGAGCAAGGGGTGGGACCAAAACTTAACGATGATGGACAGGTGACTAGCCCTATGACTGCAACCAAAGGAAGCCACCTATCTGCAGAGTCCCTGAAACCTAGGACTGCAAACAAACAATTAATACAAAGCAAATAAAATTGGAGGTCCTGGTACAGCTGTACCAGAACACTCAGTCTGTACGAATGGGCCCAAGAAAAGACTAGGAAGCAACAAATCAAATATACACTGTAACACTATGTAACATGGTTTTTGATCCTGGGTTATAAATATAATTTCCTAATTGGTTCTATCATTAAACATGGAAGAGATTTATTAAACTTCAAAACTTTGTTTTTGTGGAACATCCTGCAGCACATTTTGCTATAGTTTTTCAATGAATATCTCATAAGAGTCTCAACCAAATTCAACATACCTTGTAGCAGCCACAAAAGCAAAATTCTGGAGTATAACAACTGCTTTCAAAATAAGTATTGCACAATTAAACAGGAAATAACACTTTCAAACCAGGAACAGAAATGTTTTCAAATTTTGTTATATAGTGTCATCTTTGCCTGATATTTTGAGCAACTGTTTTACCAGCAAGGCAATGTTGGCCTGCCTCTCTGAGCAGGTATTCATAAGGAAGCTGGGAATTCCACAAAGATGTCATATTTGTAGTATTGAACCCAAAGAGATGAATGTCAACTACAGGCATGCCTCAGTTAACAAAGCCTCGGACAAAGAAGCTGCCTTTTACAAAGCCATTTGCTGCTCAATCAGCTTTGCCAATTTTCTTCCTTGTTTTTTGTGTTGCTAAAGGGGTTCCCCCCACCCTTTATTTTAAAACTGACACTGGCATTAGAAAAGTAGTGACGAGCTGGAGAAAAACAAACTTTCAGTTGCCAATCTCTTTTACAGCGTACTGCTATGTACCCAGCCTCCAGTTTAAGAGTTAATACCCAAATGCTTCATTGTTGTCCACATTCCACCTCCTTATTGGTAGTGGTTGCTATAATCTCTTTAATCTCAGTTTCCCCCCATAAATACAGCCTTCCTTCATGATTTGCTTTGTTTGTGAGTTTCATGATACACCAAGCACTTACGAAGCTCACAATGATTATGAAGATCGTCACAGAGGTCTGAAACAATGGCTGTGGTTATAGACTTTCTAATACTCACAGCTAGAGTATTTGGATACGTTCTCCAAGCTTTGCTTTGGTGGATAAAGAAGCCCACGGAGAAGATAGTCAAAAATGAAATCTGTTTGATAACTGGCACAGCCAGCGCAACTGGGATTGGGAGGCTTTTGGCACTGGAGTTTGCCCGACGGGGAGCTACACTCGTCTTGTGGGATACTGACACTAAGGGCAACGAAAACACAGCAAGGGAAGTTCGCAAGCTGGGCGCCAAAGCCTACGCTTACACTTGCGATGTGAGCCAGAGAGACCTGGTCTATGCTGCTGCTGCCTCTGTGAGAAAGGAGGTGGGTGAAGTCTCCATCGTGGTCAACAATGCTGGCATTGTAGCTGGGATGCCCATCTTACAGTGCCCTGACGGACAGATGGAAAGAACCATGAGGACCAACTGCCATGCTCACTTTTGGGTAGGTACCATTGCATACAACAAAACTGAGGAGGGGAAACCTTGTTCCTTCTTGCTCTAGAGAAGAGAATTGCAGAAAAAAAGATATTCCACCTAAAGATTAGGAAGAACTTCCTGATAATAAGAACTCTTTGGTAGTGGAGTATGCTGCCTCGGAGAGTGGTGGAATTGTCCTTCTCTGGAGGTAAGCAGAAGCTGGATGGCCATCTGTCTAGTGTGCTTTGATTGTGTGTTCTTGTACGACAGAATGGGGCTGGACTGGATGACCTTTGGGGCTTCTTTGAATTTTATGATTCTATTGTCAGAAATATTAAAAATTAACTAGGTATTTTAATTACAAAAACTTGAGTCAAGCACTGAAAGGATTAAATGTTGAGTAAAAGCTGTAGTTCTACATAAACAGTTGTGTCTGTAGCTTAGTAGCCCTCACTCTGTGAGAGGTCTCTGTGGGAGAAGGACCTCAGTGTGTTAGTAGGCCTCAGTATAAGAAAGCCTCAGTGTTAATTTGCCTCAGTGTGAGAGAGGCATCAGTCTGAGAGAGCCCTCAGTGTTAGCAGACCTCTGTGAGAGAGGCCTCAGGATGAGAAAGCCTAGTGTGAGAAGTTTGTGTGAGATAAGCCCCAGGTTGAAGGCCATCGTGTGTAAAGCTCCAATGTCAAGGCTACTGTGTGAAAAGCTCCTGTGTGAAGCTCCTGTGTAAGTTCGGTGTGAGAAGAGGCTCCGTGAGAGAAAGCTATTTATCTGCATGAAAAAGAAGTCCAGCGTGGAAGCTGTTCAAAGGAAGAGGTATGAAGAACTTTATTTGTGTTATGGAAACCTTGTTGTTGTAATTTGTGCAACCATATTATTTTACTACAAAGAAAGGCCTCCCATGGAAGAGATAACATTGATCTGTGTGGTTTTGTTCTTTTGATCACTTTTGGCTACTGGTGCTGAGTCACACTGCTGCTAATAAGTTACTCTGTTGTACATTTATGAGGAGAGTCTTTTGTTAATCCCACTCACCCAAATAAGGTTATGGGCCCAGTATTGCCAAGAATAACCCAGTCTAGCCCAGTACAGACCAGTAGAGACCATGCTGAGGCAGAAGAAATACGGCAATGGCATTTCAAGCAACTGGACTGCCTTGGAAAAAACAGGTCGTTTTCTTCATCACAAATATGGAGAGCAGTTCAACATATTTCAGCAAGATTTGTAAAATTAAAAACCAATAATATGCATGTATGAAAGAAGCAACCAGGTCAATAAGCCTTATCTTTTAGACCTTCATGAGACTACTTGAAGATTTTTCCCGAAATACATCCTTGGATTACTCCCCCTCACACACAAGCCTCACTTCTTCTATAATTTATATTAGGTGGCCAGACTTTTAGATCTCTGCTTTTTAAACATGCTGTGGCTATGGTGAAGGAGCCTTATCTATCTTCCCTTTTTCTCAGTTTTGCAGTTTGTGTTTACGGAATAAGGAGTTCTGTAGGCAGCTCCTGCTTACCTTGACTGTTGTAGGCAAGCACACACGCCTGATTTAGGCTAGAGAAGAATCCTGCTGTCTCCCAGCCCATTGCATTGTTTGCTGCAGACATGCTCCTTCAACCCTCCTCCACCATTTGTGAATGCCAATGCTGATAAAAGGAAAAAAAACTAGACAGAATAGAGAAAGGGTTGCTAAAAATGTATAGAACCCTTTGTGAAACTAGCTGCACTGGGTTTTGAAAGGATAAAATGGGAAGAAGCATACACCGTGAGCTAACTTTGGGAAAGAAAGGCTATCAGTGTAACTTCAGTGTGGAGCCCCCAGTGGCACAGTGGGTTGAATATTTGTACCAGCAGGACTGAAGACTGACAGGTCGAAGGTTTGAATCCGGGGAGAGTGTGGATGAATTCCCTCTGTCAGCTCCAGCTCCCCATATGAGGACATAAGAAAAGCCTCCTACAACGATGGTAAAACATCCGAACATCCGAACCTCAATCAATGGCTGATACCAAATGACAGACTTTCTCCTGGGCACACAGAAAACTGGGCGACTTGGAAGGCACTGAACAGACTGTGCTCTGGCACCACGAGATGCAGAGCCAACCTTAAGAAATGGGGCTACAAAGTGGAATCCACGGCATGCAAGTATGGAGAAGAGCAAACCACTGACCACCTACTGCAATGCAACCTGAGTCCTACCACATGCACAATGGAGGCCCTTCTTATAGCAACATCAGAGGCACTCCTAAGTGGCCAGCTACTAGTCAAACGTCATTTAATATAATGCCAGGTTTGCAAACTTTTTGTGCATTTTTAATGAACTACAACTGTTTGATTTGCTCCTGACATGATAAATAAATAAATCGTGCTTCTTGTAGGTCAGAATACAGTCCAGGGTAACTCCCAGATATTTGGGTGTGCTGCAATGCATTCTCAATAGTAACAAGAGGCAATGTCTCCCTGCTACTTGAAATAATAATTTAGTGACTTTGCCCTGAACATTTAAGACATAAGCCCTGGGCTTATGTGCTACATTCTGGAACTATCCAATTAAACTGTGCTTCACGTTGATCCTTTCTAGTGTGAATGGACATTTTCTCGTGGCAACTAATTCTGGAAAGCAGCTTATCAGCCAGGTCTTGCAGAACATGGCCTGGCTCTAGCTAATCCTTTATTTGAGACCCCGAAAAGATGAAAAGACTATCAAATGGAGGGCAATTTTAAGAGGATTGAAATCACAATTAATCTTGTTACGCTCTTTATCTTTGTCACATGAGCTACTAACAAAACGTTTTCAATCGAACTTTAAATAGGAATTAGTCTTTCTTAACTCCTCAGGAACCGGGAAAATTGAGAGAAATACGAATGAAAACAAACTAGGGATACCTTCACATTTTAGCTGCACACGGCGAGTATCCCTCATCCAGAAATCTGAGATGCACCATAATTGTCAGCATAGGTGGCGAAGAGAAAGGCATCCTTGCTTTCTGATAGTTCAATGTAAATAAATTTTGTTCAATGCACAACATTATTATAAATATTGTGTATAAAATTACCTTCAGGCTAAGTATATAAGGTATATATGAAACAAACTGACTGAACCCAAAGGATGCTCACCAATAGCTTCTCTTCATCCTAAAGAGAAGTGATTAATGGGGCCCTGAGCCCAGTGCTATTCAAAATCTTTATCAATAACTTTGATGATGGAAAAAAGGGAATTTCCAGATAACATCAAATTGGGAGGAGTAACTAATATCCTTGCAGATTTTTTTTCTTGTGCCATGCTCTGAAGCTTACATTTGCACAGATATCCATCTGTAACAGAGAAGTTAGATATGATGGAAATAAATTGCTGTCACAAAATCTCTATATTCATAAATGGAAAAAAGGAGGTCACACAAAATATTTGAAATTATGCATACAGAAAAAATAGATGTTGCATGAAATATGCAGTACTGCATATTTTAAGTGTCCACCAAAACAATGGTATAATTTCAAGACATTTTCACATGGTAGCAATATTCTATGTGAGCCAAACTAAACACATGACCCAATATATTTGGGCAGTCAGAGTCAGACTGACTCAAAACATTTTGGGACCTGAGATCAATATGACCTCCTGAGATTCCATATGGAAAACCCAAATGGACCAAGAGTTTGGTTTTTTTGAAACCCTGATTATAGATAGGGCTGTATTTAGCTAGCTTAGAGGACACAGGACAGTTTCTATATATCATAGAATAATAGAGTTGAAAGAAAGCCCAAGGCTCAGTCCAACCCCTTCTGCCATGCAGGAATGCACAATCAAAACATTCCTAACAGATGGCCATCCAACCTCTGCTTAAAACCTTCAAAAAAGGAGTCTCTACCACACATCAAGGCAGCATATTCCACTGTTGAGCCGCTCTTCCAACAGCCTAACTCTGTCTAATGGTAGGACTTCCACTTGGGTCGAAGCAGGATATTATAAACTATGTTTGTCCTGTGAAATCTTGCAACAACTGGGAAACAAGTCATTGTCATTCTATATTGCATTATTGGGGGAAATGATTTGTTATATTGTTTGTTGTAAAAATTCATTAAAAAACAGCAACATTCAGGACCAATATGATAATTGCCCGAAACTTGCAAAGTCCCTCAAAAATGCCATCAGTTGCTCTTGAACTTCCCTAGTTTTATAAGTAAATATAAAATGTTATTAATTACACAACAAAACAACATTCTTCTTACTGATTGCCTTACTTTTGTACTGCCATCAAGTTAGAAAGTATCGAATTACTATTAACAAGGTTGCTTGCAACTCATTACTTCTAAACTCTTAAGAGGGTTTTGCATTGCCATCTCTTCTCCGAGAGCTCTTTCCCCCAGGTGTTTGACTCTCTTTCAAAGCTCAACTAGTTGGGAGAAAAAAAGACTTATCAAAGGAATGGACTTTAAGGAATAGTTAGTATGTTTGTTGTTTTTTTAAGTGTATGAACAGTGGGTTGTTGGAGGTTTTTTGGACTGTATGGCCATGTTCTAGAAGCATTATCTCCTGACGTTTCGCCTGCATCTGTGGCAAGCATCCTCAGAGGTTGTGACAACTTCTGAGGATGCTTGCCACAGATGCAGGAGAAACATCAGGAGAGAATGCTTATAGAACATGGCCATACAGCCCGAAAAACCTACAACAACCCAGTCATTCTGGCCATGAAAGCCTTCAACAATACCTTGTATATGAACAAATTATTTTGATGTTAAATTATTTGGTTCCTTTTGCAGACTGTCAAGGCTTTCCTCCCACAAATGATCAAGAGAGGGCATGGACACATTGTGACAATTGCTGGAGCACTTGGTCTGTTTGCAACTGGTTGTCTGGAGGTCAGTAAAATACTATACAAAACCGAGCACTGGGGTTTTGAAAGTAATGAGTTATAACTCCATATAAGTAAAGGGCTACAGGAGTCATTTGTTATTGTTAGAATTTTAACTTTTAAAAAATAAAAGCAAGGGAATTTTAAAAAAATGTATTTACTAGTTCTCAAAACTAACTTAGATGATAATAGTTACTTTTAAAACATCTGAAAGTTACAATCCAGTGAGCTTTGGTATCAGAGACAGTTCTCCTTCGTCATTTCCACAGTATCAAGAAGGAAACCATAGAAGGCATAACAGCACTTCACAGTGTTATATTCATTCTCCAGTGTTCAATAAAGTTTCTGTTGGTATAAGTGTAACAAAATATAGTGAAGTTTAGCACAAGAGGGGTGAAAGTGTATCTTTATATGCTATAACTTACTTGTTTGACAGAAGTCTGCCCATGCAAAGCAGGTAAACATAGCATTGAATGAAACATACAGAATAATTACAGGATGTCTTAAACCTACACCTGTTGATAAACTCTACAAGCTAGCAGGCATTCCCACCCCCACCCCCGATGTGCAATGGGAATTTGCTGCTAACTGTGAGAGAAATAAGGTTGAACACTGTGAAAGCCATCCACTGCATTGCTATCAGCTTCTTCCCAGTAGACTCAAATGAAGGAAAAGCTTCATGAGAACCACTAGGGCTGGGCGGTTTCGTTTCGTTAATTCGTAATTCGTTAATAATTCGTTAATTTTCTTGATTACGAAGCGATAACAAACCATTCTGGAGCAATTTTTTTAAAAAACGAATTTTTAAATACGTTTTGCAAATGCTTCGTAATTCGTTATGTATTAGTTTCGTTATCGTTTTGAGGTCGTTTCGTTATTATTTCCGCATGTCTGGGGCAAGTTTTATAGTTGTTTTTTGTTTAATTAGTGAAAAAAATTTATAATATCACACCAACAGTCAACAACAGAGGGAGAGGGAAGCTTCAGAAGTTCCCCCTGTCCCATTTGGAGGTTTTTTAGCGTATTTCGCGGTCACGTCCGCCATTAACGAATCGATTCGTTATTGTTTCGGAAATCGTTTCGTTAATGTTTTGTAATTTTTTCACATTTACGAAATTTCGTAAATATCGAACTTTTTAAAAGGAAAATTTTGTAATTATTTTAAATAACGAAACGCAAAAAACCCCCAAAAAACGAATCGATTTTAGAAACAAATTTTTCCGTTGTTACCCAGGCCTAAGAACCACCACTCCTCTTAATGTTTCCTCCAGCAACAGCTAGAGTATCCCTCTGGGCAGCTAAACCAGGAAGTCCCAATTGGATGCCCCCCCCCCATGAGGGTCTTATTCCAGGGGCAAACCAAGAATGGGCAACTTTGTCTCTGAACAGACTCGGAAGTGGAGTTGGCAGATCAAAAGACAACCTGGCAAAATGGCACTACCTAAACGAATTCTCGTCCTTATAAGACTGTGGAGCAGAACAGATAAGTCTGCATCTGTATGCTTGTCCACAATGTCGTGCCTCATGTACAGAGGAAGAATTGTGTGAGGCTACAGACAATGTGGTCACTGTTGCCCGTTTTTGGTCAAAAGATATTTAGTTGCTTGTGCTCCTTCCATTTTTATCAGTTTATACTTATTTATGCAACGCTTTTGATATGAAATAAATAAACTTTCTCGTGCCTTATTATTTAATAAAATATTTGATTACGAGTAGCTAGTTATTTGTTACTGATTGTGTTTAAACTCTGTTAAATTACACATTAAGAGCAGCCTACAATAATACAACTAGCTTGTCCCAGAAAGTCTGCTTGGCTTAGATTTATGTAATCAGAATATACTGCCACTAGTTCCCAAAGATGAAGAATAAAACTTTTTAAAAAATCAGTTTTGTTTAAAAATAAGAACGTCAAATCACAGTTAAATTAGAAATAATTTAGTACATGCACAAGAGAACTTGCCCTAGAATATTTAACTTTACCCATAGCAGCATGGAATATTATCTTCCACGTTATTTGAAGAATCTTTGATTGGCACTTAAATGTGGTAGCTTTTTGAAAGCAACAGTCTGAAAATGTTTGGAATTAGCATTTTGAGCTGATCAGTAAACTTAGACCTTTGGAGCCCAAGCATTCCTCAGACAATATTAGAAATGTGGTGCTTTATGAATGAGAAATTTCTCCCTCCAGGATTACTGTGCCAGCAAGTTTGCTGTGGTGGGATTCCACGAAGCTCTTAGTCATGAACTGAAAGCCAAAAGAATCGACACTGTGAAGACTACTCTAGTGTGTCCTTACTTCACTGACACAGGAATGTTTAATGGCTGTGGAGTCAGGTAATGTCTGTTGTTGCCATCACTAGCTCCATTTGACTTGGGAGAAAAAGGGAGCGTGCCTGTATAACTCAAAAGGATGACAAACAGACTGGGGGTGCATCTTCACTGTTAATGTTCATGTTAACACTGTTAATGTTGTTTGGCATCACTTTCACTGCCATGGCTCAAGGCTATGGAATCATAGAAGTTGTATCCTTCCAAGGTCTTCAGTCTCCTCTGTGTTCTGGTGCCTGTCCAAACACCAGTTCCCTGGATTCTGCCAATTGGGCCATGGCAGTTAAAGTGGTCTCAAACTCCATTCATTCTATAGTGTAGATCAGTGGTTCTCAGCCTTCCTAATGCCGCAACCCTTAATACAGTTCCTCATGTTGTGGTGACTTCATAACTGTAATTTTGCTCCTGTTATGAATTGTAATGTAAATATCTGATATGCAGGATGTATTTTCATTCACTGGACCAAATTTGGCACAAATACCTGATATGCCCAAATTTGAATACTGGTGGGATTGGGGAGGGGATTTTTATTGTTATTTGGGAGTTGTCGTTGTTGGAATTTATAGTTAACCTACAATCAAAGAACATTCTGAACTCCACCAATGATGGAATTGAACCAAACTTGGCACACAGACCTCTCATGACAAGAAAATACTGGAAGGGTTTGGCAGGTATTGACCTTGAGTTTTGGAGTTGTAGTTCACCTACATAGAGAGAGCACCGTGGACTCAAATAATGGTAGATCTGGACCAGACTTGGCACGAATATTCAATATGCCCAAATTTGAACACTGGTGGAGTTTGGAGAAATAGACCTTGACATTTGGGAGTGGTAGTTGCTGGGATTTATAGTTCACCTAGAATCAAAGAGCATTCTGAATCCGACCAAAGATAGAATTAGGCCAAACTTCCCACACAGAACCCCCATGTCTTGAAGGGACTTGCTGGTGTGAACCTCCCTCCAGTCTCGCATGCTCTCCCTCACCCGCACATGTGCACCAAGCATGCCTGCTCTCCTTTCCCCCGCTTGAGAGGCCAGCCAATCACAGTGGAGGATTTTGATGGCAGGATTCACCATCTGTTTCCAAAAAGGAAGAGAAGGACAGGTAGAGAGATCTTCAGCCTTCTCTGCCAAAGGGTTTCCTAAGACCATCAGAAATATATGTTTTCAGATGGTCTTTGGTGACCCCTCTGAAATCCCCTTGCGACTCCCCCTCCCAGGGGTCCCAACCCACAGGTTGAGAAGCACTGGTGTAGATGCACCCTGTGAGGAGGGACAGGAGGCACCAAAGGGATGGCAAAGCAAGGAAACAATCCTGTTATATCATAGTTCATTTCACAATGTAAATTCCTCCAGCAAAAGAGAGAAAAAGGGGAAGAGAATGGAGAAATTGCTTCCTTGCTTAATCGAGTTGCGCTGATTTATTACTGATGTCTCTTCCCCTGAACTGCTTAATGCTCCAAGAGGAAAGTGCCATTCGCACAATTCATGGTCAGACTGCCCAACTGTACAGATATCTTGAACTCCCCTTGTACAGAACTACATCATCAGATGTAAATATCTTCATAGTAACTCTAGTTTGTTCCAGCAGTTTATACACAGATTGTCCTCCCCAAAATGTATTCGACCTATAATAGCTAGTAGCAGCCAGCTATGGTAATTCTTTGAAGGCTAAATAACTACATTTATATTGAAGAATGTCATAATAACGACTAAACAGAGTTAACACATTCAATCTTAAATTACAATGGTAAAAGTGTTCAGATTATCGTCGCTGCACAAATTATGCACTGCTCACATTGTCAAAGCACAGAATTGCAAATGTAAATTACACTTTCTCTTGTAATTTCTCTACTATTGGAATCTTTAATCCTGGTAAAAGGATATATTTTTTGCAGAGATGAAAAATAAATTCCAGAATTATAAGCTGTCAAGGAGGTATCATTTTGGGGGAACACCCTGCATTTTTGCAGTTAGCCACATTCCTGCCTATATTTAGATAGCACTAGCTGTGCCCTGCCACGCGTTGCTGTGGCCTATAGTAAAACTTATCAAAGTTGAGGTAGATATCTGGACTATTATGAAAGAGAGGTCCCTACCTATTCCTTCCCCCTTTTCCTCCCCCTTTCTCTCCTTTCTTCCTTCTCTACCTCTTTCTTTCTTTCCTTCTTTCACTACTTGGTTTCATCCTTCTCTCTTTCCTTCATTCCCTCCCCCTTTCTTCCTTTGCCTTTCTTCCCTCCTTGTTTGCTTCCTTCTTTCACTTTTATTTCCTTTTATTTCACCACCATAATAACAATAACAATAATGCAATGCATTGCCTCTGGGACCTGACACCTCTCCCATTCCCCCAGGGTCTCATAGGAATAATAGCATAATAATAATAGAAATAACAACCTTTACCCGCCACGCGTTACTGTGGCCAACCTTCCCTCTTTCTCTCCTTCTTTCCCTCCTTCCTTCCTTCCTTCCTTCCTTCCCTCCCATCTTTCCTTCTCCTCTTCTTTCTCTATCTCTTTCCTTCCTTCCCCCTTTTTCTTTCTCTGCTGTCTCTCTTTTCTTTCCTTCCATCTTTCCTTTTCTTTCCTTTTCTTCTTCCTCTAACTTTCCTTCCTTCCCCCTTTTTCTTTACCTCCCTTTCTCTTTCTTCCTTCTTTCCTTCCTTCCTGTCTTTCCTAGATTTTGACAGGGCGGGAAGGGGCGGGGTGGGGTTGGAGGTGGCGTGAAGTAAAAGGAGGTAAGATTGGGGCAGGGGGAGTGATGGAGCGTGGGGTTGCGTGTGTGTGTGCGGCGGGGGGGGGGGGGTGGCGTGTGTGTGCG